GTCAAAGAACAAAGCAGTCAGACAATCACAGCTGGTTTGTTCATTTTCAGGAAGAATTTAAACTGCTGAAACCTTTAGACTAAAACTTGTTCCTGCAGCTCAGAGAGAAACAAGCTGCAGGTGTTTTTCTCTGATTTCATCTCTGAGACTTTAGTCCTTGATGATCAGTCAGTGTTTAGTTTAGATCATCAAACAGGATTAGCTGCTGTAACAAGTGAATAAAGTCAGACTGTAGATGATCCTTGTTGTCTGTCAGTGATGTTGGAGCTGATGTGTTGCTGACTCTCCTCCTCTGTCTCCTCTCAGAGGGAGAAGATGATCTCCAGGATCCTGCTGCTCATCATCATCAACTCATGTCTCTGTTCACTAGAAATGAACTCAGAGACCAACTTGGACTCCAGAAGCAGAGAGTTTGATCAAATCTCCTTAAATCTCCTTCTTAGCTAATGTTATACTTTAAACATGATTGTTTCCCGTTTTGCTTCAGTTAAATATTCATTTTACTGAAGCTGAGTTTAGTTACTCCTTTCCAATCTTTTTTCACTTCCTTTTGTATCAATCTTTTGAATAAATATAGATTTTTTTTAACCCAATATAGAAAACAACATGACCCAGATCTAAAGCGTATAGATTGTACAGTGGCAGTCTGTGGGAGATCGAACTCACAATCTCAGGATTGAAAGCCCTATGCCCTAACCACTAGGTTGCCACTCCCTAAGAGAGCTTTTCTGATGATGATCCATAAGAGGACATGATATTGATGTAGTTGTAGTGAAGTGAAGGTCTGGTTTATATTTAATGATCAATTGTTTGCTTGTGTTGAATCTCCAACAACACGATGAAGCAGGTCCACCAGAGCCACAGACACCAGCTGAGGAACCAAACCATGAACACCACAAGGTTTGATCTGATAAACATCAGTCCCTGCAGAGTTAAAGAGCCTGACTGTGGAGAGAGTTCCCTCATTTTGATGGAGTCATAGCAGGAAGGTTAGAGGGAGGGAGGGAGGGTGCCAATAATTTACAGGGAATATTTCAAAACAAAAGCTCCTTTATAAAAAGGAAGAACCAGAATAAAAGCATCAGAAGGCAATGTTTTCATATCGGCACTAAGTGATCATTTACAGTCATTTTAAACCATTTTTAGACCACCTTAGTAGAACAGCGTCACTTTGGATTTAGATTTTTAAAAGGCTTAATATGTTTTTTTGCCTTCAGTAATGTATTCTATGTTGTTTTTAATGATCTCCATGTTTTATTTATGCTTTATGTTTTCATTTCTGAATGTCTCTATAACATTATTTGAACGTTCACCTTTAGCAGGACTCCAAACCACACCAGATATTTTACTTCAATGAGAGACAAACAAAGCTGAGGTCTGAAGCATCATGTCGGCCTCAGTTATCCTTTCTAAAAGCAGTTTTTCCACTCACTCAGGACACAGAGGTCTCACTCTGGGTCACTTAATGAAGGCTGCTTACATCTAGGAGGAGAAGACTGGCAGGTAGAGAAACACCTGTCTCTAAGGTGGTAGAACCTGCTCAGTCCACTAGAGGGCAGCAGCAGCTTTCACAGCTTGAGGATCTCTGGGTTAATAGATGACAGTTTCCTCAGAGTGAGGAGCTGATCATCAGTCAGATATTCTTCTGGATCATTCATCATCTTTATGCATCCAAGGTTCAATTTCATCACTAGAGTTTAATAAGCAGCAACTTTAACTTTGATCCATGAACCTTTCCATCCTAAATCAGTCTGATAACAGGAAACTATTAATCAAAGTGTTTCTATTGAGGCGACTGATGAATGTTTCTCATCTTCCTTTTCATTCTTGGTTTGTTGTCTCTGCTTCCATGGAGCTTTCTGTATATATTTTGATAATGTNATCTCCTTCATGGTGTTTGATGGAACCTGCAGAGAGTCTATCAGCCTACAATCTACTCATCCTCATCAACCTCTGACCTTTTCTCTTTCCTCTCTGCTTCTGTCATCAATGATGCATCATGAAGTGAAGCCTGATCAGTCCACTAGATGGCAGTAATGAGCTTTTCAAAGCAGAGGCTCTCAGGGATCAGAATAATAATCTCCTGCATGGGCCTAGGTTTGCATAGGAACCATAGCAACATGTCCCTGATAATTCCATGTTTATAATTTAAAATACATCGTTTTTGCGGCAAAAGATTATTTTCGTCCTGCAGTCCAGTGCCTGGCAGCTGTTGCCGCTCCATTTGCATCCTTTCCTGTCTCTTATCAGCGCGTTGCTGCGCTGTGCTGTTTAACTCTCATTGGTTGTTCTGTCTTTATTTCCTCCTCTGTTTCCTTCCGCAGAGCTGAGTAATCATCAAAATAACCATAGGAACCAGATGGATGTTCTGATGAAGATGGTTAGATTTATTGCTACAAAATGTTTAGATGCAGTCTATGGTTGGTCACTTTCTTACTTTATTTCAAGTATTTGTTCATAAAAGGCTTAACTGGCTTTTTAGATGGAGGCTATTTGTTGTGATGAATGTAACATTAACTTGCAACTTGATGTTAAATTAATTAGGGAAAATATTCCACAAATAAAATATATATTCTGTGACAGGCTATGCTTGGCTGATTTTTTTTTTATTATTATTCTTTTGTGCTATGACATGTAGTCCTATTAAAAGGGTAAATGCTGATTGTAGGAAGCTTTATAACAATTGATGAATTAGAGAAATTATACAGGCTATTATCAATAGAACAAACAGAACTAAATGTGAGACACTTCAGCACATAGGACCCCAAAGGAAAGTTTATCTTATATTTGTTTTATTTTAGATTTTCCATCAGTAAGTTGCATAAACCTCCGTGCAGCTTTATGACAGACTTTACTTCTCACATTAGCACCGCCCTGCACTCTAATTATCAGTCCAGATCAGGAGGTGTTCATCTTGAACGTACCTCGTTTCCATTGGAGTGGAACAACAACAACCTCTTTTCTAACGAACATATCATCGGTGGTTCCAATTATTTCTAACAGTAATCCTCAAACTGATCATCGCCACCAGATGGATGAAGGTTCTTATGAAGATGGACGGATTTATTTCTACAAAGTTTTTTGTTTTTTTTCCGGTTTCAGTCTTTTGCTGTTTTCACCATTAATAGCAAGAACTTTGCAAAAGAGAGAATATGAAAACATTGAAACATTACCATGAGAGAATGAAGGAACCAGCAGTTTAACACCATAGAGCTGTTTCCAGGAAGGAAGCAGTTTGATCTGTTGCTCCATCACCGCTGGACATGAGGTAAAGCTGCATGTTAAACATTACTGTTAGTTAATGTGTATTAAAGCATTAGAGCTTTATGGGAGAAGATGTAATTAGATATAACTGGAAATGATTAAGAGTTTGAAGAGAAAGATAAACAGTCAACTCCTGGTGATTAAGGTCTATTGTATGAAAGACCAATCCTGCCATAATTTAAAATGAATACAGAAATAGATAAATGCTCCAAAAGAAATACCGTAAATTCTCTAATATAGGCCCGGGCCTTTATTTCACTCAA